AGAGGGTTATAAATCCAATCTCTTCTTCTTCTTCTTTTACCTCACAGGGTGTCTGTTGTGGGGAAGGGAAGGGAAAGGAGTTTGCAAGACGCTCTGAGACACCTTTGGGTAGTGAAGGGCAGGGTATAAACCCAATCTCCTCTTCTTCTTCTTCTACCTCACAGGGTGTCTGTTGTGGGGAGGGGAAGGGAAAGGAGTTTGTAGGCCGCTCTGAGACACCTTTGGGTAGTGAAGGGCAGGGTATAAATCCAATCTCCTCTTCTTCTTGTTTTACCTCTCAGGGTGTCTGTTGTGGGGAGGGGAAGGGAAAGGAAAGCCGCTCTGAGACACTGCTCTGAGACACCTCTCTGAGACACCTTTGGGTAGTGAAGGGAGGGGAAGGGAAAGGAGTTTGTAGGCCACTCTGAGACTCCTTTGGGTAGTGAAGGGTGGGGTATAAACCCAATCTCTTCTTCTTCTTCTTTTACCTCACAGGGTGTCTGTTGTGGGGAGGGGAAGGGAAAGGAGTTTGTCAGCCGCTCTGAGACACCTTTGGGTAGTGAAGGGCGAGGTATAAATCCAATCTCTTTTTCTTCTTTTACCTCACAGGGTGTCTGTTGTGGGGAGGGGAAGGGGAAGGAGTTTGTAAGCTGCTCTGAGACACCTTTGGGTAGTGAAGGGCGGGGTATAAATCCAAACTCTTCTTGTTCTTCTGACCTGGCATTATGGTGCACCTGTTTGCAACATCTAGAAGGGCCTCTGTTAAAATTAAAAAGTTGTGGGAAAGGTATGTGGAATTCCATGCAATAGGATTGTTTGGATGTCTCCAGTCAGGCCTGATTCAGATAGGCAGGTGCACCTGAGAAGCCCTAGGCATCTCGTGAGATCTCTTGTATCGCATCATTTAATACCTGGCCAGAGGTATAGCTCAACAATGTTTTAGGTTGTTTAGTTTAGTGTATTATTTCGGACTTAAGACCAGCATGTTTTAGGTTTGTCGTGGCTCTGCTGCTACACAAGCGATACTATGGGAGACTCTTTCCTTCTATTTTAATCCACGATTAAAGCATAACTCTATTGCACTTTAACATTGACTAATGCATCGGGAAATTATAACATCCATTACTGTTGCACAGATAATTAAAGGAGAGCAATTACACGAGCCAATAAAACTGTTTTACCCAAAGATAAGCAGATGCCACGCAAGAAGCTCGTTCTGAGAAGAAGCTCGAAGAATCAGTTCCCAAATGGATAAAAAGGTAAAGGTTCCCTTGCTCGAAAGCCAGTCGAATCCGACTCTAGGGTTGCGGTGCTCATCTCCGTTTCAAAGCCGAAGAGCCAGCGCTGTCCGAAGACGATTTCCGTTGTCATGTGGCCGGCATGACTAAACATCAAGGTGCACGGAACGCTGTTACCTTCCCACTGAAGTGGTACCTATTTATCTACTTGCAATTTCTTGCTTTCGAACTGCTAGGTTGGCAGGAGCTGGAACTAGAGACAGGAGCTCACTCTGTCATGCGGCACACTCGGGTCTCGAACGGCTGAACTACCGACCTTCCACAGTCCGCAGTTCAGCGTCTTAACCACTTGAGCCACCGCAGCTCCTCCCAAATGGATACAGGTTCTTAAAATCAACTCCTAACCATAGCGAACCGTCCCACTTGATAAGGGCCCGTATTCTTGGCCAACTAATTACATTATAACTTCAAACACCACACAAAGTTATCTATGGCCCCGATCACACGCACAAGTAGCCATGCGAGAGGGACGAATGCCGAGCGGATTATATGAGCGTGATCACATGGAAACATCTGACAAGCGTGGCGCACTCGTCTCCAACCTGTAGCATACCGCCGAAGATCCAGAGTTAAAAAGTACCTGGAAAAGTCTTCTATCAAATGGGTTGCGACGGGCTGCTGATAGACGTCCTTTGTGTGATTGCTCCAGCGCGCTCCTCTCGCCTCATTGGAGCGCCCCGGAAACACCCACTGACGGGGAAAAATCTGCTTCACCGCCGTCGCGACGGATCATGTAATGCCGGAGCAAATTGTGACAGCGCAAAGAGCCATGCATCCATCCCGCGTAATCTGGCCCGTATGACTGGGACCTATATCTTCTTAAAATATATAAGAGGTGTTAGTTCATTCTCGATGCTTTTTATCTCGCTGTTTAAAAATACTGATTACAAGTTTCTCATAGATATGAATACCTGCTGGCCCTTAACCAACACACTCCGTCATGGAACGATATCTTCTCTTCTGAGGAGATGGAAATTCTTACTATTCTCAGACACTTCTGCACCTGGGCCTTAGCACAGGGGTGTGAAGCTCATGTGAGCTAGCTCACACTAACTCAGCTTAGAGGGAACACTGCTCACAAAGTAGAATTTTTGCTCACAGGACTCTACAGCTTAGAGGGAACATTGGCTACAGGAGCTCATTAGCATATCTAATAGGCTATTGGCATAACAGCTCATTAGTATATGCCACACCCCCTGACATCACTGGAAGTGATGCCTCCCTGCAGCTTGGAAGGCCTTCCCCGGCCCACCCGCCTAGGCATGCGGGCCAGGGAAGGCCAGGGGGGCCCTCAACAGGCCTTCCCCCACCCATCCGCTTCTGCCTTGGAAGGCCTTCTCTCTTCGCTTCCCCCCAGCCTGCTTAGGCGGGTGGGCCAGGGAAGGCTGGGGGGTGGGGCTTGCTGGGCTCATTACTGCCGGAGCACCGCTCCGGTGCGCTCCTGCAGGAAACGACCCCTGTTTCTGGCTATATCTGTGACATTATGTCTGGTCTTTCGAAACTAAAGCTTTCAGCAGATAGTATGTGGGGCTTCATACCATTGCCTCCCTGTGCCGTGTCTGTTGCTGTCTGTCTTTCTCCAGTCTACACGATGTGCCATCCTTTTGTCCCCTGTTGACTCTCCTCCTGGGCCCCCACCCAGAATATCAGTCAGTGGACTCTTGGAATCATGATAAATGCTGAAGCAAACCAATAAGCCTACAGTTAAGTTGTTGTGGATTGACTGTTATAATAATATCCTCGTACGTGGTGCTTAGGATAATATAATCAACAAAGGCTGCTCTCTCTCCCAAGGGGAGACAAAAATAACGGAGAGGTTGGGGTGACTGTAGATCTGCTGAATGTATTCTGAGCACAGAAACTAGATGTTACGAACGCGTGGCGGCTGCTGCCATTTTAGAGAAGGTTTTGTCCATTTTTTAAAGAAATGCTATGAGGATAGGACCCAAGGTGTGGGGCAACCAGGCAATCTTGTTTCTGTCACACCTTTACAAGTATCAAAACAACTGGGGAAGAGGGCTGTTTTGGTACTTGCAAAGTCAAGGGAGACAGTGTCTGGTTGCCAGGTACTCTCAGCCACGTGCAGGGGATTGGAAGGGCAGGGTTGCCAGATCCAGGTTGGGAAACTCCTGGGGATTTGGGGATGGAGCCTGGGGAGAACAGAGACCTCAGTGGGGTACAATGCCACAGAGCCCACCCACCAGAGAGCCAGTTTGGTGTCGTGGTTAAGTGCACGGACTCTAATCCGGGAGAACCGGGTTTGATTCCCCACTCTTCCACTCGCACCTGGCTGGATGACCCTGGGCAAGCCATAGTTCTGATAAGAGCTGTCCTTGGAAAGGAGCAGTTTCTGTCAGAGCTCTCTCAGCCCCACCTACCTCATAGGGTGTCTGTGGTGGGGAGGGGAAGGGAAAGGAGTTTGTAAGCCACTCTGAGACTCCTTTGGGTAGTGAAGGGCGGGGTATAAATCCAATCTCTTCTTCTTCTTAAATGCACGGACTCTAATCTGGGAGAACCGGGTTTGATTCCCCACTCTTCCACTTGCACCTCAAATAGTTTGTCAGCCGCTCTGATGCGATGCTCATCTCTGTTTCCAAGCTGAAGAGCCAGTGCTGTCCGAAGACATTTCCTTTTTTAAAAAATAACCTTTTTATTGATTTTCAAAACAAACATAACAAAGTAATCACATATTTTTAACACATCCAAGATAGTTATCATGCAATTAATAATGTTATTCATTTTATCTCTCTATTAATTGATCATCTTATTTATTTTACAAATCGCGTATTTCATATATCTCTACATAGCTCCCCCAAAAATTATTCTATTAACTTTATTAAGTTATCAAATACCTTCCTACGGAGCTATATATTAGAATATTGAATACCTAGATATTTATAAGCCATTTCATTGAAGGTAGATGAATAAATTAAAGCCAATCTAGATCTAACTATTCT